TAACACTTACCAAAACAACTACTGTTTTCATTGCTAATGGTCTTGGACACCTAGCCAGGGAAAGCAATTCATTCGACTTTCTGTCTGTCATCTTCTAGAGTTATTTGGGTTTGTAACTATCCTTGCTTCCGTCTCTGTTTTCAAAGTGCTATTCTTCTCTTTCAAGGTCAATTCTTCTGCTGGTCCTTCTTTCTATCAAATATTGCCTTCCTCCTCCCTCTTCCAGTGCCTTGATTTCTAGGACTTTGTATCATACCACCTTCTGCTGTTTACTTGTTTAAACATTTCTCTTTGAAGAGAGAAATTGAAAATATAAACCTTCCTACCTCATGTGTATACTATTCCCCCCACTTCTAAGTTAGATGCTTGAAAGGTGTTTACACATTGCAGGCTGGGTAGCAGCAAATGATATATTAGAAGTACATGTATGTGCGTATAACTTGAAGCCTGGAAATCTGGAAATCCTAACTTATTTTTGGACAAACAATTATAGAAATCCTTGGTCTTGGGAATGGGATTTGGTGTGATGGTTAAGCCACTTGGGAAACTCACACCACACACTGGATGTGAGTCCTGGCTTAGCTTCTGGTTCCACCTTCCTGCTAATGTACTCCCTAGGAGGCAGCAGGTGATGGCTCAAGTACTTGGACCCCTGCCACACATGTGGGAGATCTAGGTTAGGTTCTTAACTTCTGACTTTGGTTTTTCACAAGCCCAGCATTTGCCAAGGGTTGGGGAATGGTCCAGTAGATGAAAGAGGTCTCTCTGTCTGCCTTTCCCTCTCTGTCTTTCAAATAAATAAAAAATCTTAAAAATTAAAAAAAAAAACTTGCTCCTTAATTAAACAATGCACTCCAAATGGAAAAACCAATGGAAAAAAATCACACACACACACAAATCACTGTTTGTCTATTCAAAATGTGGATCACTGCCTTTAAATAGAACCAAAAAAGGTAATTTCCAATGCTTATTTTTAAGTCATGTCAAATAAATGGAAACAAATGTGTAGCATAGAGCTCTGACATGAAGAACAATTCAGTTTTCCTAGCAACAAGTGCTGTGCTTACCATTCAAGTGGGCAGAGGGGCTTGAGCTCTTCGCTCTCTCAGTCACATGCCAATGTCACCGAAGTGCTGTCATTTCAGACACACTGTAGGCATGGTGTTCACATAAATGGAACCAGGGAAAAATTACACATGCTATATATGGGGAAAAGCCCAAGCTCTTCCTCTCTTTTTATTAGCCTCCAAATTTTGCTGCTGGTATGTGTATTAACAGAGGAATGTGGTATTAATATTTAACTCACTCTGCAGAAATATGCATTTAAATGGGAGAAATTTTAGTATGCAGGCTACAGAACAAGATTTCTGTGTCTCTGTTCTTGCACGCATGCACACACGCACACTCATACACAAAATGCTTTCCAGCTCACATGGCTGGGAGCCCTCAATTAAATGCGAAGAGTAACACATGGCCAGCAGAAGGAGGGGATCTAGTAGAATGGCAGTGTTTACAGCTCCAGGGGATGCCCAGTGTGCACGAGGGTTTTGTGAACCCTGCTGGAGACGGAAGTCCCACATGGACAGCTGCAGCATCAAAGAACTCTGGTGACCTAGATTCAGCTATAGATTGTGCACTGCTTTGGCCTGTGCTGCCATCACCACGCCAGCAGTCGGCTTGCAGTTTCATGGGCTGCCTGGCAAACAGCGCTGACCCATTTCACCATGACAACCTGGGCTGCTCTACTAAAGGCTGTGTGCAAGGACACGCTCACTGTTGGCATTTTAAAGATTCCAAGATCAAGTTTACTCAGAGTTTTTGAAAACCACATTTAGGAGACCAAACCAAAGCTGACATTCTTTGACAGCCAGGGAAGTGATGGAGAAGACAAATGTGAAAAAGTTAGTTAGCGTTTTCCATGTTCCCAGAAAAACGGTCTATTTTATATTTTACTCAGCCAACAGCATTGTAATGTTTCAAACCAAGTGAATTGATAAGCAGAGAATAGGCAGGCAACAGGCTAAGGAATTAACTGCCGATGCTACAGATGCTCACATATATTCAGATTCTGGGTTTTAAAAACAGATATATAGAACCAAATAACATAAAATCTCATGATAAATAATGAAAAGTGTTTAAAGGTGGATTTATTACAGCCTTGGCTCAACCTTGAACTGCACAGAATTGAGTTTCATTAGAGAACTAGAATAGTATGCCCCTTGGGGGAAAAATGGGTCTGTGCTTTGGTAAAGGAATTTCATTTAGTAAGTGCAATTTAGAAAAATCAGGACCTGGTATGTGCATGTGAGCACATTAAAATGCAACCTCTGCTTTTCTGACAAAAACCATAGCTCGGAATTGAAAGCATTTGCAGGCCTTTGTATTGAAATCCGTACACCGTTCTCAGCACCACTTTGTTGTTATTGTTAAATTAGCTCAGTAAATTAAATCTGAGAACTTCCTGAATATTTCTATTTCTGAATTAGAGAAAGCTAAGTCACCAGAGGCCAAAAGATTGTTCCCTGCAATGCAGTCTATTCCTGGTGACAGACCCTATCCTGGGACCATGGAGGCCCTGAGGGTCTTGGACTCACACAGTCTTTACTTTCTAAGGGGAAGAATGAGAAGAGCAGCATTAACTTCACGTTATTGAAATCAGCCCAGTTTTATGAACACATGGAAACAAAATTGCAGTGCAGTGGTGGGTGTTTGGCCTAGCAGAAAAGATACCTGCATCCCATATCAGATTACCTGAGTTCAACACCCTGCTTGCTTATTTACTAATGAGCTGACCCCAGCTTCTTTTTATTGCAGATCCTATGGGGCAACTAGTCATGGCTCAAGCAACTAATGATTGGGCTTCTGCCACCTACATGGAGAACTTGGTTTGAATTCTCAGCTCCCCACTTCAGCCCTGTTCAGTACTAGCTATTGTGGGCCTTTAGGGGAATGAACTCTTGGATAGAAGCTTTCTCTCTCTGTCTCTTTCTCTTATCTCAGAAAAAGGTAATAGATCAATAAAATAAAAAAATAAAAATTATAGCATATCTGGCTGTAGTGGGGATGACAATGTCTGGAGGTGAAGGTAGACTTCATTTTGACAAAGATTTTGGGACAGTGCTGGGCTGTCAAGATGGAACCTGCAAGAGCAGTCTGTGATCAGAAAATAGTTTAAAATATGGGACCAGTGCTGTGGCACAGAGGGTGAAGCCATTGCTTGCAGCGCCAGGATCCCATATAGGCACTGGTTCCAGTCCTGGCTGCTCCACTTCCTATTCAGCTCTCTGCTATGGCCTTGAAAAGCAGTGGAAGATGGCCCAAGTCCTTGAGTCCCTGCACCTGCATGGGAGCCTCAGAAGAAGCTCCTGGCTCCTGGCTCAGATCGGTAAAACTCCAGCCGTCGGAGCATTTTGGGGAGTGAACCAGCAGATGGAAGACCTCTCTCTCTGCCTCTGCCTCTCTATAAACTCTGCCTTTCAAATAAATAAGTAAACCTTTAAAAAAGAAAAAGAAAATAGTTATTCAGAATAAGTTGCATTTGGGGTTCAACCCTCAGGAGTTGTAGGGGTTGAGACTGAAAGAGTAGTTGAAAGCCAGATTGCCAGATTGGGTTTGATTTAGACTTACAGGCAGAGGAGAGACAGTCAAGTATTTTGAGTAAGCATCTCTTAACTTCACTGTGTTTGAAGAAAACCAAGGTACAGGGCAAGGTGCAGGATGAGCCAGAGGAGGGGGGAGGGCGCTGAAGGCAGGAGGGTCAGTTGGGAAGTTACTGCCACACTCAAGGTGTGGTGTGATAAGAGTTGGAAGAAGGTGGAAACAGTATGAATAAAAGGGAGAGATGCTGTAAAACAGAAAATTGTTATTTTATTTCCCCAGAGAGTTGAGTTTGCCTTCATTAACACACCAATAAGGTCAGTCATGCTTCTATTATGTTTTCCAAAAATGGATCAACTTGTTTTGCACAAATCATGGCCAAGATGTACTTAAAGATGTTATAAAATGGGTTTGATTAATGACTTGAAAGATATGTACCAGATGATAATGAAGATCATAATCTTAAATCTCCTGTTTGCTTTTCCATCCTTTCCACTGCCCACACTGTGCAAGGGCAGGGGGCTGGTAAACATCACCTGTCCAACTCTCAGCAGTCCCCTGAGGCTGACTAAGCAGTCCTGATCAGATTATGTGGAAATTGTTAACACAAGAAGTTTGAATACACAAGGTGATACAAAAGCAATATTTGTATTATACCAATTTCCTTCCCAAGAGGCAGGTTAGCATGGTTTTTGGTGGCAGCTACTTTACAACAAAATGCTTTAAGAAGGGCCAACTTGAGATGAACAGGTTAATGGGAGATAATTAAGGCTGAGCATATGTGGAGGACAGAGATTTCTTGCTAATAAGGGATGGTCCTTAATTGCTGAAGCCAGCATGAATAATTTAGGAAATTTAGAACAATGACAATGGATTGTGTCATGAATGACCTGGAAATTTTTGTTTTCTTGTCAAACTTTAAAAAAAAAAAGATTTGTTTACTCTTTATTTCCTGTTGAGTATATCCCAGTGTAATTGTTGCCTGAAAGTGCCTCTGTTTCTTAAGAATAATCCCTGATTCATGGATGGGAAGAGAAAAGACATTGTCTAGAACATAAAGTTTAGCTTAATATCAGTTTTGGCAATATTACTGAATATGCACCCAATAGATGACACTAGTAACCAATAATTTAATTACAACAGTTACTAAGGATGTGCACCCGTTATGCACTATTTATGTGTCTAGTTGAGAGTGCAGAATTTTGGAATTTTCATATGTGTGATGAGGTAGAAATAAACAAGAGAAGAGAAGAAAAAGAAATCTTTGCTTAAAAGCAGAATTGGATGAAATTTATGCTTACACCATTTTTCTCTTAAATATTTTAGAGGTTTACTCTTCAACTGTTTGAAATGGAAATCATCCTTTTATGATCCAATTTTTTCACTCTTATTTGTTTGCATAGAGTTGCCCAAGAAGGCTGCCTTGTAATGTACCATGATTTACTCTTCTATCACAAACAACAGAAGAATTTCCAGACTTTGAAAGCTGACAAGGGAAAGAAGGAGGAAACAAAAGGAAATGTTTATGCCTCCTCATTTTAACATGGCTCCTTCAGAAATCTGATACTGAATATCTTCCTGCATCTGGAGGAAAGAAGAAAGAGACTATACAGCCATTCTGTACATAATGTTGAAATAAAACTCGCTATTGTCCACTGAGACAATAGAACTAGCCTATAATAATGTGGTACAAGTAGAGCATAAATGACATAAGCCAGCAATGCAATCTTTGTTCCAGTGTAATCTTCCATATCAACCATCTACACTCCCTGGAGGTAAGAGAAAGGCCTTTCTCCCATTTCCCATAACTTGCCACCACCTCCCTCTCTCTCCCTGTTGTATAGAAAGCAGTGTAATAAGGTTTCCCTTTGGGACGGCTAACTATGTTTGACAACACAGGAATTGTCCTGAATCTTGGTCAAAATCTCAAACTAAGCCCAAACCATTTCTACAGATAAATAAAATGAGTTCACTTTTGTTATCTGTCTCAAAGCTTGCAAGAGGTGTTTACTTTGGTGGGAAAAGATATGGGAATACTGAGAAATAAGATGTGGGCTACACACAGAAAAAGACCTAATTGGGAAGATATCATGTTCAGCTTCCACGGGGAAAGATAGCATCTTTTTATGGGAATAGGCGATAAAGGCACTGTATAATATGGAACAAAGTAAACTGTTGAAGAATACTGGGATAAGGCAGAAGTGCTTCCCAAGAATTCTGAGGCTGTCAGCCTACTCACAGCGCCCTGCTACTGTATGAGGCACTGGGCAGTTCCTACAGTGATGAAAAAGATGGCCTGGGGCTGTCTGCATGCGGCTAACCTTTGTATTGGGCCTCCTGCCCAAATGCACAAATGAGTGTCTGATAAATATCTCAACTTTGATATTTTCCCTGAGCCTAGCTATAGTTGAGTCTCTAAAATTGCTTAGGGACTGGCATTGTGGAGCAGTGTGTTAAGCCGTTGCTTCCAATGCCAATGTTCCATATGGGAGTGTTGGTTTGAGTTCCAGCTGCTCCATTTTGCTTGTTTGTTTTTTAAAAAGATTTATTTATTATTTGAAAGGTAGAGTTACAGAGAGGCAGAGGCAGAGACAACACAGAGAGGGAGAGATCTTCCATCCGCTGGTTTACTCCCCAAATGGCCACAGTGACTGGAGCTGGGCTGATCCAAAACCAGGAGCCAGGAGCCAGGAGCCAGGAGCCAGGAGCTTCTTCTGGGTCTCCTATGTGGGTTCAGGGGCCCAAGCACTCGGGTCATCTTCTGCTGCTTTCCTAGATCACAGCAGAGAGCTGGATCGGAAGTGGAGCACCTGGGACTAGAACCGGAACTCATGGGATGCTGGCACTGCTGGCAGAGGCTTTACCAGCTATGCCATAGCACTGGCCCCTATTTATTTTCTTCCTCTTTGCTGATCATAAACAAGAAGAAAAGGGTTCATACTGGTCCCCAAGTTTTAAAATAAATAGCATTAGTCCAAACTGTCTCATGAAAACTGTATAAGTAAAGGATCAGAAAATTAGACTATGATTTAGATTCAGAAGGTACCTGATGTTTAATTTTATGTATCAACTTGACAGATTCAAAGGATGCCCAGATAGATGGCAAAATGGTTTTTCTACATGTGTATCTGTGAGGGTGTTTCTGGGAGAGATAGCATTTGAACTGATGAACTGAGTAAAGCAAAAGGCCATCATTTAGTAAGGAAGAATGACAAATTCACTCTCTCTTCTGCAGGTGGCGACTTTACCTGCTACACCATAGCGTCGGCTCCTGCTCCAGGACAACTGAACATTTAAAAAAAATCGAAATGCACTGGAAGAAAATACATATTTTATCTTTGCTTTGCTTGAGAGTAGAAAGAAAAGGACACTGGTATAAATGTTGGTTTATTATTTCTGATATGCCATTGATGTCTTGACACATTGTGTCTCAGTGTCTGTCACATAGAGATATTCACTAATACTTATGAATGAATAAATGTTCACTCATTATTGGTGTATGGGATACAACAATGAGCAAAAATCTTATATTCTAGAGTTGGAGACTATGATATACATGTAATTATTCAAAGGAAAGAATGTTAAGAAGAAAAAAGAAAGCAATGGGAAAAAGTTCTGTTCTGAACTTGTGGAATTCCAGAGTAAAGGTTTTCTTTGCAGATCTCATGGGTAGCTTCTTGGTCAGAGGACATTTAGTGATGTGAGGTACCATTCTCAGAAGACATCTGGAAACAAGGGCTCAAGCAAAAGAAAAAGCAAATGCAAAGACTGGTGGGCCAGCACAGGTCTGGTGTTTCCAAAGCTATAAAATTGGTGTGCCTGGAACAGTGGTGGGAGGACACATGATCAGAGAGGTAAAGGGGGGGTGTGTGTGAAATAGGATCATGGATGAATCTTCTAGGTAATGTTAAGGAGTTTGAATTGTATTCCCAATGAGATGGGTAATTACTCAAGGCTAGAAACAGCAGAAAGGAGGATATCATATTTTGAAAATGGTCATGAATAAAGGGAAAATGGGTTTAGGCTTTAATGAGGAAATGTACTTTAGATGCCCAAAATTCATCTTTTAAGACTTTGAATCAGAAAAATTTATCAAGAAGCAATAATATTTCTGATTTCATGAGATGCTTAGAAAAAGCACGTTTATGGCCAGCGTTTATGGCTAGGTTAATCCTCTGCCTGCGGCACTGGTACTCTGGGTTCTAGTCTCGGTTGGGGCGCTGGTTCTGTCCAGGTTGCTCCTCTTCCAGTCCACCTCTCAGCCGTGGCCCAGGAAGGCAGTGGAGGATGGCCCAAGTCCTTGGGCCCTGCCCAGGCATGGGAGACCAGGAGGGGGCACCTGGCTCCTGGCTTCAGATCGGCTCGGCCTGGTGCACTGGCTGTGGCAGCCATTTGGGGGGTGAACCAATGGAAGGAAGACCTTTCTCTCTGTTTCTCTGTCTCACTGTCTAACTCTGCCTGTCAAAAAAAAAAAAAAAAAAAAAAAAAAAAAAAAAGAAGAAGAAAAGAAAAGAAATTGGCTCTTTCATTAAAAAAAAAAAAAGAAAAAGCACATTTATTTGATATGAAGTACTGCCCAGTGAGAGGATCAATGTGCTTTTTTCTCCAACAACTTAAACTAACCCACAGTCAATTTGATCATGCACTCAAACTGATTTCATAATTAAGACCACCAGGAAAACTGGAACATTGTCTCCCATCAGTGGGCATGTCCCAGGATAACCATCCACTTGACTGTCTCTAGGACAGTGGTTCTTCTACATCTGACCTAGGAATAACTTCAATAGATCTTTATTCCAGAATTTTTTTTTGAGAATACCACCAAAGTCTGACTAAAACCTAAGAGCAACTTGAGATGATGTGTAATTTAATATTCTTTCAAACTGATATTTAAAAAATATTAGCACAGGTGCTAGCATTGTAGCTGGGCAGATAAAGCTACTGCTGGTGATGCCGGCATCTTATATAGGTGCTAGTTCGAGTCTCAGCTGCCCTACTTCCAATCCAGCTGCCTGCTAATGGCCTGGGAAAGCAGCAGAAGATGGCCCAAGTGTTTGGGCTCTTGTACTCATGTGGGAGACCTTGATTAAACTTCTGCTCTTGCCTTTAGCCTAGCTTAGTTCTGTTCATTGCAGCCATCTGGGGAGTGAACCAATGGATAGGCAATCTCTCTCTCTCTCTCTCTCTCTCTTTTCTCTCTCTCTGTCTCCTTTTCTCTCTTTGTAGCTCTTTCATTTAAAATATAAAGTATTATCCCAGTACTCACATTGGTGGGAATTCAGATTAATGAATGAGTTATTATTAAATATTATGTACAAGCCATATAATTACAAATCACCTTCAGTGCCCAATAAAAACACTCTGTTGAAAGAAAAATTTTGGAAAGACAATTTTTTCTTATTTTGCTCTGATTCTCCTTTTCTTTACTGCTTTATTCTGAAATTTTCTAAAGCCTTGATTCATTTAAGATACAGTAAAATTTTAAACTTCAGATAGTAAAATAAAGCATTCCTATAAAGAGCACTATACCATTGTCAGAATTCAGTGATCTGTGATCATGATTTTCAGTTGATGGCCACTACTATTTCCAAAAATACTCAAATGCAATGGCTTTGCCCTAGGGAAGAATTCTCTTTTTTCCTTTCCAAGGGCACTAGGAATGGGATCAATGCACATTGATTCTTATAACATTTTGGTAACCTTTGAGATTAGTGACCATTATTTGCCAAACTGGTTGATCTTACCATTAAAGTGGACTGTGGACCCTATATTTATGTTGTACACAATATTGCCACATAAGATTTGCTCAAGGACCATGACAGAGACTTGATAAGCTAGATGAGACTTAGGATAGAGTGGTCAATGACAACTTGAAGAATTGTGGAGACATCTACTCTATCTCTTGTCTTACACACCATTGAGACTACTGCAAAAGTCTCTTCCTTTCCTGTGAATCATTGCTTATTTTATCCCCTTGCAGAACACAATACTCACAAGAATTAAGGTATTAATACATGTTTGTTGGTTTTGATTTCTGTTTGTTTTGAATGATGATTATGGCTGTCCTAGTTTTTTTTAGAAATTGCAGTAAGGAGTTAGATGATGTTTGTGCTTGCCAACCAAGGCTTTAGAAAAATAGAATATCTCTTATTTAAAAAAGGTCATAGTCAAAGTAGAAGTTCTCTCCTCCCTTCAGAGAAAGGTACCTCCTTCTTTGATGGCCCGTTCTTTCCACTGGGATCTCACTCACAGAGATCTTTCATTTAGGTTTTTTTTTTTTCTTTGCCAGAGTGTCTTGGCTTTCCATGCCTAAAACACTCTCATGGGCTCTTCAGCCATATCTGAATGCCTTAAGGGCTGATTCTGAGGCCAGAGTGCTGTTTAGGACATCTGCCATTCTATGAGTCTGCTGTGTATCCTGCTTCCCATATTGGATCATTCTCTCCTTTTTAATTCTATCAGTAATTATTAGCAGACACTAGTCTTGTTTATGTGATCCCTTTGACTCTTAATCCTATTATTATGATTAATTGTGAACTGAAACTGATCACTTTGACTAGTGAGATGGCATTGGTACCTGCTACCTTGATAGGATTGAATTGGAATCCCCTGGCACGTTTCTAACTCTACCACTTGGGGCAAGTCCAATTGAGCATGTCCCAAATTGTACATCTCCTCCCTTTCTTATTCCCACTCTTACATTTAACAGAGATCACTTTTCAGTTAAGTTGAAACACCTAAGAATAATTCTGTGTTAATTAAAGAGTTCAACCAATAGTATTAAGTAGAACAAAAAAAAAAAATACTAAATGGGATAAAGTGTTAAGTTGTTCCTTGACAGTCAGGACAAGGACTGATCAAGTCATTTTTTCTCATAGTGTCCATTTCACTTCAACAGGTTTTCCTTTTCGGTGCTCAGTTAGTTGTCACTGATCAGGGAGAACATATGATATTTGTCCCTTTGGGACGGGCTTATTTCACTCAGCATGATGTTTTCCAGATTCCTCCATTTTGTTGCAAATGACTGGATTTCATTTTTTTTTTTTACTGCTGTTTAGTATTCTATAGAGTACATATCCCATAATTTCTTTATCCAGTCTACTGTTGATGGGCATTTAGGTTAATTCTCAAAAGGCTTCCATAGCCTTGGCAACTCATGACAAGAGCCTTGGGTGATTACTGGCGCCATAAACAAGAATGTCAATTGTTAAATCAACAACAGGAGTCACTGTGCACTTACTCCCCATGTAGGATCTCTGTCCTTAATGTGTTGTACTATGTGAATCAATGGTATAACTAGTAATCAAACAGTACTTTACACTTTGTGTTTCTGTGTGGGTGCAAACTGTTGAAATCTTTACTTAATATATACTAAAGTGATCTTCTATATATAAAGAGAATTGAAAATGAATCTTGATGTGAACGGGATGGGAGAGGGAACGGGAGATGGGAGGAAAGCCACTGTAATCTAAAAGCTGTACTTTGGAAATTTATATTTATTAAATAAAAGTTAAAGAAAAAAAACAAACTAAGAAAAAAAAAGAAAAATAGAATGTCTCAGTCTGTAGAATGATAACCTTTTCACAAGGTCCAGAAGAACCACAGGGTGCTGCCTGCTCCGTTTCCTTCTCTTCCTGAGTTTTGTGAATTTACATCTGTTAGGATCAGGTCATTAACACAAATTGTTGTCAATAGCAAACCAAAGTTCTGAGTAGGAAAACTGTGAACTCAGTCCTGGAAGGTAAGGTAAGGCATGTTTCTGGTCTACCTCCAGGAATTTCTGGCAGCTCTGCCAACCAGATGAGACAAAGAACAGATAAAATTCCCCACATAGGTCAGAACATCCATTTCTGGTTCTAAGCAATCTGCTCTGTCTCAGCAACTCCACATATACTCTTTTCTACCTCCTTGTCTGTGGACCTGCCAGTATGCACATCACCCACCAATTTGTAGTATTCATGCATGTAGTATTCATGTATCTTATCTGTAGTGCCCGAGAGACTCTGGATGAGATCAGGCAGAAGCATGGTGCCAAGACATAGTATTAATCATTATCCTTCCAGCATCAAGACCTTTTAAAAACACTATTGTATGATATTAGTGATAATTGAGCCTAATGATAATAATAAGCCTTCCACGGCACCAGGGATGTAATATGCGACAGACAGAAAATTATTTGAAAACACAATGGAGAGAGGAGAGTTTTGGGACCCATTAGATAAAGGAGAGTCCACATGTGCAATTTAAAGTAGGCATACAGGACTCACACTTGGGTCTTTGCTGTTAAAAGTATTCTTTTCCAGCTTGGTCTTCAGGCATCCTGGTCAAAGTAGGAGTCTCAGAGCTGCCACTGTGCTACCGTTCAGCCATTCAACTTCAGAAGGGAATGAAGTCGTTCCACTAGATAGTCTCTGATGTCCTTTCAAGATCACAGACTTCAATTCCCTTTGCTTGTTTACTGCTTTCCAGAACAGGTGCATCTCCCCATCGTTTCCCCAGACACTTCTTTCCTGACTCAGTTTCTTATCACATTATGTAGCTGTTATAAAAATGGGTGGGGAGGTAGGATGAGAAGGGAGAGAAAAAAGTCCCACAGATTGTTTTCTGAAATCATTTTGCATGAATGTTTTCCCAAGGTTCTAGTATTTGCAGTAGGAGCAACTAGATTTAGTCACTGGGAAAGAAGGAGGCAGCACTGTAGCTCTGAAGTAGAATCCACCCCAGATGTTCCTGATAAGCTCCAGGAATTTCGGATGAGGAGTGAGGAGTGAGACAGGTTCCTTGGAAAAACACATTCCCTGTTTTTGGTAGCTTCCTTATAATGAGTCCCTCTCATGAGTTACTTAATTTTATCTGCATGATAGTTCAATGATATGCCTACTACCATTTCTAATTCATCTATTAGGAAACTGAGAATCAGATGCCTACATAACTTATCCACAGTCACATAGCTAGTAGGTGGAAGAACTAGTATGCAATCCGAGGGCTCTTTTTGTTCAAAGCCCATTTTCTTTTCAGTCTATCCACTGCCTCTTGGTTCAAGCTTCTTTGAAGGAAATAGTAAAATAATTCAATAACCCAGCAAGTCTAAGCTTTGAGGCACAAAGGGGATAATATTTGCATAGTGTGCACAATTTGGATGCTATGGCCGTGGGTAGGCCTGTTTGTAGAAAAAGGAGAATACTGACAGTCCCTTCCCTGCTTTCTAAGTAGCTCTAATTAGGCCCATCCCGCCTCCGTCTCTTAGGTAGCACTGGGAAGATTATGCTGGCAACTGTTACATAGTGACACTGCTACAGTAAGCACAGTACCCTCAGGATAGACTGGTTGAGGATAGCTCTGCTGGGATTTAGCCCCCTTACTCATTATATAAATGCAGACGGATAGGCAATCCTCAAGTCCCCACACTTGGCACTAAGAGCGATGACCCAATCTGAATCTGGAATGGCACCTGCCTGAGAGTGACACCTGGGAAGCCAACTTGCACAGCACATTCTCTGTGCCAACAGCAAAGGCTGCACAGGGATAAAAATCACCATTCTTCCTAAGCAGATGAAACCTGAGCCTTCCATTTCTTGATACTAGTCATCAAGTAAGCAGGTCTCTTCTGTTGACACCTGTATGAGGGCTTTTTCCCACAACAGCTGCTTTCTCGCCAAAATACCAGCAACAGCACAGGCCACCTTAGTCCCTTAGCCCTGGATGAGCTCCTGGCTGTCCTAGGGTTGACACCATGTTTCACAAAGGCTTGACCTTGGGGACCCTCCTTTTCTCTTCGAGGTAAGCAATGCCTTTGATGTGCAGGATACGTAAGCTACCTTGGCAGGTATAGAGACCTTTTATTGGTCTCTGTGGCAAATTTTTTGCCTGGTGTCCAGAGCTGCATGCCCTTGAAGCTACCTGGCAAATTGTCTGAGAGAACAGACTGCTTGGGAACAGCCCTGGGTTTGCTATTAGTTTCTCATGTGCCTGATATCAGTCAGTTCATGAGCAGTTCAGACACTGGTGCCAGATTTACAAAGTGTAAACTCAGTTTTGTCCTGGGCTTTCTCTGCCTGATTTCCACCATTTCCCTATTAAAATGTCTCTTAAAACAGAGCCACATTTCCCTTCTAAAACCTCAACTAAATCCTGGAAGATTAACAAATAGGGCAAAATGATTACTTCTTATACATTTTCATATGGAGGCTATAAACAGTCCCTGTTCCCTGAGATCCTCCCTACAGTGTTCCTATGAGACAAGGTAGTTATCATGTTCCAGGTTTTGCAAGAGGAAAAACAGAGACCATTCCTTTTCTTTCCCACTGCCAAATAAAATAAAATAAAGCTTGAGAAAAAGAAAAAGAAGAAGATGAGGAAGAAGAAACCTCTGAAATTAAGGGGATTGAAAAAGAAGTCAAAAGTACACTGGAGCCTTCTGCCTTCAAGGTGAACATTTTGTGTTTTGCTTGATTACTCTTCCCTCCCTCAAATCTCATAGGCACAGACTCATTACCCCATTAGGATTTGGCTGGGAAGGAAGAAGGGGCAATGAGAAACAGAGAGGAATCTGGCTGGGCTGCCAGAGTTAACGGCCTCTCATGTGCAATAAAACCAGACAGTATTTTTGATGGACCACATTCCCATTGCATTCAAAGAGCCTTGGAAAACTTCCACGGCTGCTGATTTCAAATGAGAAAACATCCAGGAGGCAAGCAAGACAGAGATGTGTCCTCTGGGCTCACTCCTAACATTGCATCGTAACTTTTAAGTATTTAGGTATATGGCATGTGGGCCTCCATTTGTACACTTCTGGTGCAAGTTTGAAAACTCGTAAATAATACAAAGTATGTTCTACCCTTCTTTCGTGACAAATGTGTTTTCACTAATAATTTAGAGGCTGGGTTCAAAGTTAGAGTTCTCTGTTTCCTTGAAGTTCTATTCTGGAATTTGATGGCCAGACAGATCTCTCACTGCCCAGCCCACTGCTCTTCGTCTGGGGCCCACCCCCTTCTCTTCAAACCCTGGTTCCATCTTGCAACGTGTGTGGCCTCATACTCAGGTAGGACACTCTATGGCACATATTCAAGCCAATTAATACATCAGTAGCCAGCCCTCCCTGCGCTGGCCCCCCTTTGCCCACAGTGGTGCCCAATTTTCTCCGAGATGGACAGACCCAGAAAGAGATGTCACACAAGTGCTTGAAGCTGGCTTCATCTGGTTGGGAAAGGAATTTCAGGGGCCTGAGAATCCAAAGCATGGTTAAAGGGATGTGGTTTGGGTGTGGGGGAAGGGTAGCCTTTTGGCTCCCTGGGCTTTTTTTCCATGAAGAGAAGCATTAAAGGTCACATTGCACCTTGTAAGATGCAGGACATGGAAGCACTGGCCTCTCTTGCTTGGATTTATGGATAGAAAGGATAGTATACATAAAATAGTTCCTTTATAAAAGCAAGCTTCGCTTAGAAAGTGGACACTTGTTAGATTCTATATGTGGAGGTGCACCAGAGCAGTGCACTCTTTGCTTCATAACCAAATGAGAATGGCTATCTGATGGTCATGATTCTCAATTCTGGATGTAAAAGTGACATCACTCAGGGAAAATTCCTCATGACCCCTTACATGTAAGTTTTGGTTTAATTGGTGTAGGGTGGGATCCAGGCATAACTATTTCTGTAAAGCCCCCAAGTGATTGTATGTGCAGCCCAGCCTAATGACTCTGCCTCCTATATACCAGGGCTTTAACCTTTGTGTGAATTCAAAGAACTCAAAGCTATTATGATCCAGGGGAGCTTCATCTCCAGAATAATGGTGCCCCTGTATTGTAGCTAACAACTTAATCTGTACTTGGAGCAGTAAGATTTGTCTGCATAGCTTCTGCCAGTGGCAGGCAGGACTTTTAACTGTCGCCTCCACTGTGCTCCATGCAGGGTAAACACTTAACAATCATTACTGCAATCAATCTAAACCAACTCCAACTGTAGAATAAGGGTTGGCTTCACATTATCAGACATTCTAAGATAGTTACTTCATCCAGAAACCCTTTAGGGTGGACATTACTGTGTACATTTATCAGGTGAATTGCAAGAAGGTGGCAGGTCTGGGGCTCAAACACAGGTCTTCTGATACTAAATCCTGAATTCTACCAACCCTACCAGGCAGTTTTGATAGCAATTCTATTTAGCATCAACTGAATTGTTTAATATATAACACTGGCCAAAGCAGGGAAACTTGCAGGGAGATATATTATCAGGCTCATAGAAAAATACCACATACAATATGGAACACCTAGTTCAAAATCTATATAACACAAGCAGAGAAACAACAATTTGGGCTTCTATTGGATGAACATTTGTTTCTGGGACTAGTAAATATATGGTTTTTTTTAAAAAAATATATTTACTTGTTTATTTGAAAGACAGAGTGACAAGTGCTTTAGGAAGAAACTGGATAGGAAGTAGAGCAGCTAGGAGTTGAACTGGTACTCTGATATAGGATGCTGGAGTGGCAAGTGGCGGCTAAACCTGCTGCACTCCAATGCAGGCTCCACTA